GAACTCCGTTATCTACAACCCAAGCAGAGTTGCACTGTGGCCAGCAGAAGTTTATTTGGATTAAAGGCGACAAAACGCCTCAAAAGAGTCATAACTGAGCAGACTAAAATCTCATAATCTTAAGAATAATTTTGTGTGAGAAAAGTCATGAACTTGTTTTGACCTCTGCTAACTTGTTTAAGGAAAAGGTCACGACTTACAAGTCCTGAGAAATGTGTAACATCTGACTGGAATAAATGTATTAAAAGTTCCCCTTTCGAAATCTCCTGGCCAATCAGAAAGTAGAACATCTAAATTTAGATTGTAGTTTTATCTTTTTTAATAATCCCGCTGTGTGGGATGCGGTATGGAGCAGCCATTATCTCTGTGACCGCAGATAAACTGCAGCGTTTCACTGCTTCGTTTCTGCGCCGTATTATAAAAGCCATTGTGGTTCCCTATGAATAAATTTGTCTCGTTTAAATCTTCCAAAGCGTTTCCTTTTCTTCGACACATTGTGTTCACTTCAGTCTGGGATCGCGTTGCAACTTCTCCATTTCGTTGTCAGTGTAGGAACGGAGAAATAAGATTCAGAAAGACTTTCTATATTTTCAAAGTGGTGTTTTTTTTTGCTTTCTCATGCTTTAAATCACGTTTGCTATCTATCAGTTGTTTGACACAAAGCTATTTTTTTGCAGAACGTGGACACAAGTTCTTTAATTATAGTTTTTCTGAAATTGTATGTAATAAATACCTATTAATAGCTTATTAATGACTTATAACTGTTTCTATGAAGTCACCGCAGAAATGCACTGCAAAACCACAAAATTTTACCAAGTAATTTTGCTCTAGTTTGAAGTGCAAATCTTCAAATAAGATAAAACTAATTTAAAGTTATTTCCTTAATATTGATGGAAAGCCCTTGTTCCATTGGCAGGTAAATTAACTTATAACATGGGAACAAGATTTTGTTTTAAGTTAAATAATCTGCCAATGCAAATAGGATTTTTTCTTAAATATTAAGGAATTATTTACTTAAAACCAGCCTCTATATCTTGCCAAAAGTTACTTTTAGTTTAGTTTTGTCTTATTTTAAGTGTACCGGGCCAAAAATCCTTGGTAAGATTTTGTGTTTTTGCAGTGTATGGAGTCTGTTTTATGTTTTGCTGCTGAAATAAATGAGGTTAGCTGGTAACTCTGAGTGTTAAATAGATTTATTTTTACTCCGCCTCCAGCCGCGCCACCGGCCCCTTAACACCCGATCGCAGCTGCTGCTCGCCGCCTCATGGTGGGAACCACACATGCAGAGGCCATCTGTTCGTCCTCTGGCGTCCTCGCAATTTAGTCTTCCGTCGTCGCCTGATTATCACAGTCTCCTCTGAACAGACGGTCCTGAGTCGGGTCTGCTGCTGGAATGGGCGAAGCACTGATGGCGACTCCCAAGCTGCTTTTAATTAACTGCTTGGCAACAGCTGGAAACGTCGAGGCTTCGAGTTTTTTTATTCTCTCTTCGTCAGTTTGAGTCAGGAATGACGAAGGACGTCACAAGTCCCAATTTGTCCAAGAGAAGAGCATCCATGTTGTACTCTGCAAAATGACAAAATCTTACCAAGTAATTTGGTTTACTCTGGAGAAAATATCGTAGTACACTTGAAATAACACAAACTGACTTAAAAGTAACTTTTCAGCAAAATATAAAGGCTTGTTTTAAGTAAATAATCCTATAATATTTATGAAAAAGTTCTTGTAACATTGGCAGATTATTTAACTTACAAGAAATCTGGAACAAGAACATTCACAATATTACAATATTACAATTTGCTTTTAAGTTAGTTTGTCTTATTTCAAGACTGCTAAGATATTTGCACCAAAATTACTTGGGAAGATTTTGTGTTTTTGAAGTGTATCCAATGGATTTTGAGCAAATAAAAGCCATAACAGAGATTGAATGTAGAAATTTGGGGCATTTGAAGTAAATTTGACAGAAAATGTTGGCAGGAAGGGCTGCATTTAGTTCACTATAATAAATCACTATAATAAACCAGTAGCAAACGGGTTGAGAAACCAGTGAAACCAGTCAGCAAACTGGTTGAGAAACCAGTAGCAAACTGGTTGAGAAACCAGTCAACAAACGTAACATTTTGTCATCATTAGAATCATTAGACATCAGATATGTTGGTCCATATTCCATTCATTATGGTTTTCAGCCTCGGTTTGATGGTGTTTCGGCAGTTTGTTCCAGATTTGTGGTGCATAGAAGCTGAACGGTTCTTCTCCTCGTTTGGTTCTGGTTCTGGCAGAAGACCTGAGAGGTCTGGAAGGTGCTATGAAAACAGCAGATCTTCAGTGTGTCGTGGTGGTAAGCCATTCAGTGATTTATAAACTGACAGCAGTATTTTAAAGTCTGATTTCTGAGCTGCAGGGAGCCAGTTGAAGGACCTTAGTTACATGCTCTGACTTCCTGGTTTTAGTCAGAACGCCAGCTTAGCGTTTTGGATCAGCTGCAGCTGGAGATTTGAATATTTTAGGTAGACCTCGTGCAGTAACAAATACAACTAACGATAAATGCATGGATGAGTTTCTATAAATCTTGTTGGGTCATTTGACATGGAAATGTTCGTCAGGTGACAGAAGGCTGACTTTGTAACCGTCTTTATGTGGCTCTGAAAGTTCAGGTCAGATTCTGGGCCTGATCTCTGGTCTGATCTCTGGTTTCCATCTGTAATAAGCTGTGCATTCCTAATTAGATCCAAAGATAATAAAGACGACTGCATCACATAGTGAATGTTCAGTGATTTGAAAACTGTAGCGTTTTAGATCAGCTGCAGCTGCTGTGAAGACTCACTTGCAGTAATCAATTAATCTAAAGGTAAACGAATGAGTTTTCTGGATCTTGCAGGTAAATTAGTCTTATAAGACTAACTCAAGTGATAAAAGCCTGACTTTGTGACCGTCTTTATGTGTCTCTGAAAGTTCAGGTCAAGATATTTTGCTGGTTTTTCCCTCACAGATTTGACTGAGTCTATAATTTTGTCCCCCGTTGCTTCTGTCTTATTTTCTGTTCCTCATTTCAGCACAAGAGTCTTTTTATTTCCTGTGGGGCGTTTTTTTTTTCTCCCCTCCTCCCGTCATTTTGCAGTAGATTAATATTTTGGGACTCTAATAGACTTAATATTGAGCGCTAACTGTGAAAGCGGTATAATTTCACGATGTCCTCGGGGAAACAGAAATTAATTGGCTCATTTCTGACGCTCCGTCTGTCTTAAGTATTTTGGTTAAGAACCTCGGCAAACTGCTCCCACAAATAGGTGGATTTTATTTTTTTAATTTCTTACAGCTGAAGGATGAGAACATGCTGGGTGGATTTGGGTTTTGTTTTGTTTCAGCTGCAGGCCCATGGGGAAATGTAGTAGACTTTCAGTATACGTGTGGAACTGAAGAGTATACTAAGTACACTACGTTTATCCAGGGACGCCTGCTGGACGACAAATACGATAAAAAAAAAAACAGAAAAATGATTCAATTTGACTCAAATATTTTAACATCCTGACTGGTAGATTTTAAAGTGTATGGAATAGTTGGTTACTTGATTTAGACTGTATCTATTTTGCAACATTTTGCTTTATGAATCTTAAATTCAGTTACATCTGGGGTCCTGCAGGGCTCCGTTATTGGGACACTTTCATTCTACTCCGATAGATTGGAACAGTTACTTCCAGTTTAATACAACAAATACAGAAGGTAATATTAATAAACCTAAGATTATTATGTTTTATTTTGGTTATATTGTTGACTTTTTCCTTCTATTGTTTTTTTTTTATTTGGGTTTTTTGTGTCTCATTTTATAATTTCTCCAGAATAAGTTTATATATTATAAGATTAAGTTTATAAAACTGTTTTTTGGACATGATTTTATATAATCTGAGTTCCAGTGTCCTTCTGAAATATTTCTCATGTTTTTTTTCTACATATTTGCTTTCCTCTTCTTCTGCCCACCTTTTTTCTTTTCTTTACCTTCTTTCCTGATGTTTCTCTCTTTTCATTGTTTTTTTTCCTCCTGGCTTTCCATCCATTTTCTTTCTACCTTTTCCTTTATAATTAAATTTATTAATTTCTTTACTCCTAATTTATTCTTCTATTCTTAATTTTCGCTTTCTTTTTCTCTCTTTTCCTCCTTTAGGCATCTTTGCCTTTCATCAACTTTTCTTCTCTTCTGTTTTTCTTATTCCTCCAGTTTATTTATTCTCTTTGAATTCTTCCTCTTTCTAATCTATTGTTCTTCTTTTCTGACTTTTCTTCTGAACTCTCATGTTTTTCTTTCACCTCCAGAGAATTTAAAATGTCTACAGGCCATTTGAAAGGACAGGGTTTTTTTTTTTTGTGATTTACAGAATAACAAATAACTGAATCTCCTTTGATCTGATAGTCATCCTGCGCAACTGTAAAAACAAATCTGTTAGAAAAACATAAAAAACTGCAGTAACTCACAAAATTTCAGAATTGTAAAGTTTTTCTCTTTATATATTTTTTTCAGGGTCTTGCCTGTTTTAATTTCTGACTTCTTTTTTTTCTCAGAATTTTAACCTTTCTGATATCAGAGTTCTGAGATTAGATTTCTGAGAATTTGGTAGAATTTCAATTTTCTCAGAATTTTGTAATTTCAGAATTCTAACTTTTTTCTGAATATTTTTTTTCTGAATTTTGACTTTTCTAATTTCAGATTTCTGACTTTTTGTTCTTGAAATTTTAATTTTTTTCTCAAAATTTGGACTTTTATTTCATATTTGTTTTCCAAAATTTTGACATTTTTAACTTAAGAATTATGACTTTTTTCTCAAAATTTTGCTTTTCTAGTCTCTGAATTGAGATTTTTTTCTCATATTTTTGCAGAGAAACCAGCTCCTTCTTATATTTTGACTGAAACAGTGGGACAAGATTTGTTTAAGTTAAATTAATAAAATAATTCTCCTCTGTTAGTCAGTTATTCGTTTTTTATAGCTGCTGCTTGTGTTTGTGTGCAGTTTCACAGATGTTTCCGGGCCTTTTTTTCCTGCTCCGCTCCAGAACCGGGCTCCACCTTAAAGACATTTTCTCGGCCGACCAAGACGTTCCGCTCCGCGCGGCCGGAGAGGAACCACCAGGTGACGGCGGCCGCCCCGTCCACGGCGCCGCCGACGCCCATCAGCGGCTGCTCTGCTGCAGAACCTCCGTCTGCTGCCCGACCCAAACCCAAAGTGATTCTGGTGGCTCACTACAGGGAATAAAGAGACGCAGAACAAAGGGAGCAGGTCTCCGAAAAGACAAAGCATCTTTTTTAGCAGAGAACCGAACATGCAGAACATGAAACCGGGCCGTTTAATCCCGGTGGATCCGAGAACAAACGCTCTGTGAAGCTTTGTGTACAAAGCCCACTGAAGATGTGAGATTAGGGCTACACGCAGTGCTTTGTGTTGACATTACACACCTTTCGCTTCTGGAATTACAGACCGGATCCCATTCAGAAGAATAACACAAACATTCTTCCTGGATTTCTTATCTAAATGTCTCTGTGTTGGTTTGTTTTGGCAGCGGTTTGTTGTTTCAGTTCACCTTGTAGAAATGTTGCAGTTAAATTAACTGAGGATAACTTGTTTTTATTGTCCTCAGATATTTGGGCTTTGAAATGTTGTTGCCTAGATTTACAGAATCTGCTTGTGAAATCATTCAGTAACCCAATAATTAGCCTTCATAAGGACTTTATTTAGTTTTCACATTTTGTCAGATGTTTTATATAGATTTCATGTTTCTAACCGACACAAAGAGGTTTAAGGTTTAAAGTTTTGAAGAAATAAAAACCCAAAATGTTCGTTTTTCTTCAGTCACCTCTCCTCTGACTGCTACGGAAGGCAATTAGGGCCATTGAAAAAGGTACAAAAAATAAATCCAAACATTTTTCTTTTAATTTTTACTCTTCAAACTTGAGATTTTTTAGACTTTATTTTTTGAATGTTCACTTTATTTTGTCTCAGAATTATTTCTTTCTCAGTTTTGAGTTCTCCAAAATAGTTTTTCTTAGATTTTTTTTTTCCACACAGAATTTTGGCTTTTTTTCCCCTCATAACACTGTTTACTATAAAAATGTTTATGTTTTTTCAGATTTCTAACATTTCCTCAAATTTTTTTCTATTAGAATTTTGACTTTTTTCTGATAGTTTAGATTTTTGCTATGAATCAAAATAATTGAGTTCTCAAATTTTTGATGTTTTTTTTCCCCAGAAACTTTTTTTTCCCAACCTGGTTTTTTCACATTTTTTTCTTAGAATTAAAATTTTCCTCAGAATTTAAATTTCTCTCAGAATTTTACTTTTTGACTTAATTTTTTTTTTTTACTTTTCAATCTCAGGTCTTTGAAAGTTTTAATCGCAAAATTCCAACTTTCAGAAAAGTCTAATTTTTTCACTGGCCCTAATACTTTTCCATAGATGATGTTATCAAATGCAATTTAATCTATATTGTGTTGTATGGGTTGGAAAGAACATGCAAATAATCATATTTTGCTTTTATCTATGTTTTACACAATGTCCCAACTCCAGTGCAGATCTGAAATTTCTACCGTAATCTTATTTATCACCAAGTGGTTGTGCTTCAAGAAGCAAATTTATGAAAGGAGGAAATTATTGCTTTCTTTCTGTTCTACTAATTGACCTGGCATTTTATTGTTTAACCTAAAATGAACTTGATATTAAGTTGCACAGGGAGTCGTTCTGGGAAACCAGCCAAATTACACACAAAATAAATAGCTGTATAAACAGAGTATTTTTATAATTTATAGTATCATAAACATGATGCAGCATTAGTCTCTTTCACAGTTTCAGTCTTTTTCAGCCTCATTTTCTGTTTTTATTGCCATAGTCTCCAGAGCGTTGAAGATTATTCCCGACCAGCTTTATAAAAACAGAACCTTTTCTCTTATTCTGAAAAATGCTGATTTTTCTCTTCTTGAATCACTAAATAAAAAGCTTCAAGTAATTAAAAAATAAATGTTTCTTTCTTCTGATTTATTTGTCGTTCATCCTTATTGTTCCCACATAAACACTGTAATCCTCCTTTAACCAGTTGTAGATGCACTTTGATTTAGCTAGCTAGCTTAGCATAGCTTACTTTTGGGCTGGAGCTTCCAGGAAAAGTTGGTGTAAACTTGGTCATTTTCTGTCTCTCGATCATTTAAAATTTGTCTAACTAAATTTGAAAGGAATAAATCATCAGTTAAGGCCAAAAAGATATCATAATGACACAAAGGTTATGTTCCATGGGTCCAACATTTTGAGATATTGATGTTTTTTCCTCTTCAAAATAATGTAAAACATTTAATAAGTCAAGTTTTGATTAGCAAACATGCTATACATTTATTCCGATGCTATTTACTGACCTGATTAATGGCTGCCTGGCGCCTGATAAGACGGCTAGCGTTAGCTTTAATGAGGCTAACAACTAGCATTGTCTCACGTTTCCCAAATGATATATTTATGATCCCATAGACTTATAGGAAAATGTTCTGAGAACTAATAAGTGTCAAATATCCAAAGCCCCATGACATTTAGAATGGCCTAGTCAAAGTCTGGACATAAGTCCAATTGAGATGCTGTGGTAGGACCTTAATTAGGCTTTTGATGGTTGAAAACTCAACAATGTGGTTAAATAAAAGCCAAAAATTACTTTTTTTGCAGATACGTTGGTTTTTAAAGCTGTTTTCCAACACTGTGTTGCTTTTATGAAACTGATCATCTTCAAATGATATTTTATTAATGATCTGAAACAAAAAAACGAACATATGAAGCATTAAGAAGACTTTCAAAGTGCTGTAGTTGTTTATTTTTAATGAGCCAAACTGTAATAGAAAATGAAACTCCTTGCAATAAACTAAAATTCTTTTAAGGAAAGATGCCAAACTTCTTCTTCTTGTCCCCTCATTTAGTTATTTCCATATGGTAACAAATTTCTAATTCTTTTTGTTGAGTTATGGTGTTGATTTTAATTTATTTGGAAGGTGTATTCCTGGTTTAGGGAAACAGTTTCTTCATGTCTCCCATTTCCATCCCAGAAATTTAGGGAATTAGTTAAAAATATGAACCAACTTAATCAGTAATTTAATGCTGTTCAGATATAAGAGGGTTTTGCCAGTTTTTGAACCCAGCCCTACTCCTTCCAGTTCTCCTTTAAAACATCTTCCCAACCTGGAACTGACAGTCAACATTTCATTGAACTGATATTTCAAAGTCGTCATCCTTAAGAAAAGGTTTAAGAAACACTGCAGTTGTACATTTGTGTCTGTGTTGTGCCTTCATGCATTTCTGTGAAACATAAACAAGTCCATGTCCCAAGCAGATGCCTGCGTCTTTTCATTTTCTTAGTTCAAAGCAGAGCAAGAGTAAATTTGTCTTTCTTCAGAGAGCGGGGCACGTAGATTACTTTCTCCTCTCTACATATTAACTCATATTGATTAATCCAGGAATTATAATAGGCAGAAAAGCAGATGAAGGATTCTGTGTAACAGCCTTCATCTCAGCGAGAGCCAAACACAATTCGCAATGTTGTAACGCAATGCTATGATTTACTGTTAGAATAATTATTTTTTCTTACCTTTTTAGTTTTACTTGTTTGTTTTTCATTCATAGATTTAGTATTCACATCCCAGAGAGAAGCAACTTGTTAGACCTTGCAGCTGCAGCCCCTTCTTATTTTGGGATAAATATAAAATGACACATATTTTTGGATGTATACATTATATATTCATGTTGAATATGTATGAAAAGCACAATCATTTGTACATTTTGCAATATACTTCAGTATATTACATGAATATATAATAGGTTGTATAATACTTGTATCATCTGTATAATGACCTAAATTATAGATATTTTTTAATGTTTGCTCCCATTTATTAATAGTAAGATTCTTTCTCAAAACAATCTCATCTTCCTCGTCTCTCCTTTCAGGATCAGCTGCTTTGAGAGGAAATTTATCTCACATTGACATTAATTTAATTTTGACCGGGAAATGATGCTGCCATACCGTTAGCTCTGTCACAGATTGCCCAAAGGCAATGTAAACAGCTTGTGTGCCTTTGCTATTTAGGGATCTTTTTTAAAAACACTGAACCATCCACCTCAGCATTAAACAACAGGATTATAACCTGGCTCATCCTCTGTGTCAGACGTCGGTTGGAGGTTCTGTTCAGCCACAGTGACTGAAACATAACAACTTCACAAAATCACCTGGTAAAAAAATTTGCAAAAATTCAACTGCAAAAATGCAACATCACAAATTCAAGAGCAGGGATTGAGCTGCAGAAATTGACCTTCAAACTTTTACCTGGAGAAAATTGTCTGCAAAATCTCACCTTAAAAGTTGAACAGCACAATTTCACCTGAAAACATTCAAGACCAGAAATTCAAGTGCTTGAAATTGTGGAGGCCTTCTGGTTACCAAGCCAAAGCAATTAGCACTCATTAGCATAGGATAGCTGTTAGCCAATCAAATTACGCTCTTTTGATCACATGACAAAGCCTTAGCTGACTAGCGCTGCTAACTGTTTAAGGGCGACTAGGATAGAAACTCTAAAATGGCAGAAAAACATTATCTACCTATTGTTTTAATTTGCTAAATTGAAGAAAAACTTCTCTTTCAAGAATGAAATGCATCACTGTCATTGATTGATTTTAGCTTCTTCCTGCCATGTGTGCCCTTGGGCAAGGCACCTAACATCAAGTTCCTAGTTTGAGCAGCAAAATTATTTTTATTTCATGGAAGGCCGAAGTGAGTTGTTTCCTGTTGCTGCAATGCTTAACATACCGAAGAACCTCTTTTGACGAACACACACAACTGAATGCAAGTTTAGTTTCTGCACTCCTAAAAGGAACAACTAAACATGGATAAAAATGTACAATATAAATATTTAATTCAGGATTAATGATGTGGTGAAAGACAGTAAGGAAAGAAATGTCAACAAGGTAATTAAAGTTTGCAGAAAAACACTGTCGATCAAGGTTTCTGTGTCTTTAAAGGTTTATGAGAATCCAGGCTCATCAATTCAAAGCCCTTGCACAGTCCTGTACCCATCTTCTTAAAAATAAAGATCAAACTTTAAACCTAATTATTAGGTTTTTGTTCAATAAAAGAATGAAACTGGGATACTGATGTTTATCGTATAATTTTACATGCTCTGTCGAGGCATCAGCTCTAAGAATTTGACCTCAGCAACATGAGGATGAAGATAAACATGGGTCCTTTCAAACAAACACAAGGACAAAGAGAATTAAAAAGATTAATAATCTCAATTCAAGGGTCCATGTCTGGCCAGAACAAAAAAAAGAAAAAAGAACAGAAAGGGTATCGAGATAAATTTAATGAACTGATTATTTGGCAGATCCTCTGCCAGAAGAATCTCCAACTCGCCGTCCGTAACTGAAAAGTCAAAACCACTGGGAGTAATTTAGGAAAAATGACTAACTATCTGTGCAAAAATCACCACATGAATCCTCATTAGTGCTTCAATTAAGAGAAAAGAGAAGTTCAGAATGTCGAGAGTGAAAGTGACCGCTGAAATTTTACAGCGTTTGCAACAACTCTCTCTACTTTCTCCCTTTTACTCAGAACCTCCCCTACAAATGTACAATTATTTGTTTTAGATCTTAAAGGTGACCTATAATGCTTCCTTAAAAAGGTTAGCATTGGTCTATGGGCTATTCAAAACATGTTCATCACATTGTTTGCACAAAATTGTTCTTAGGAAAATCATTTATCCGCCATCATCCATGGCCATGCTAGCTAGTGTTAGCTTTAGCTAGGATGAGGTAGTCTTTCGGCTGAATTAAAATCAATCAATCATTCACAATTTGTAAATGTTTTTCAGCCCTTTCAGTGGCTGAAAGTGCATTAAAAAGTTATTTTTTAAAGAACTTCCTTTGAATAGTTTAGCTTCTTCCATCAGCTGCGACTTTCAGATTTAATTTGCAGAGCCATTAAACTGTTAGACCTTCAGCTGAACAAAGGATTCTCATACAACAGCAATCCTATCGATCCCTGATCAATAGTAAACACAAGGCCATAGCTTCAAAGGAGAACCGATCACAGCTTTTACCCCAGAAATGGAAAAGGAA